TCAAACTTATGCAAATTAAGGAAAATTACGTGGTCAACGGCGACCACTGTAGGCAGACGTACCAGTCCCGGTCGATCCGCCACGGAACTGTGCCTCTGGAACCTCTCCAGTTGCGTATGCAGTTTGGTGTCTAGGGGGAAAACAAAGACAGAGCAGCTGATAGCTGTGAAGCATATTGAGACAAAAACATACGGAAACAAGGGTTTAACATACGTGTGCGTTTCGATGAATCAAAGGGGAAAAATACTTCACTTTTCAACTGGTAGAAACGAAGAGACAAGTTCCAAACAACAGCCCAGAGCAAGAGGTTGTGATTGTTGAAACAAGAAGTTTATTGATCGGTCGTTTCGGTTTCTCACTCGAACCCATTATCAGAGATAGAAAATGAAAATAAGAATAGGGACATAAAGAGCGCAGGTTTTAGTTGATGCCTAAAGCGAATCGTTACTGCATGCGCAAACACGACGGCAGACAAACTTCAAGCGGTCCTACATTTTGGCGAGTGTTTTCGTACGTGAATAACGTCTCGGAAGCCGTCAGCTGCCCTCTCACAACACTAGGATTTAGAGTTATACACAGACCGGAGACAAAGATCAGGCACCATATCATAAGGCTGAATGACCCACTGCCGCCGCAGGAAACATCTTTAGTCATTCATTGGATCTGGTGAAGTGGCAAACAAAGCAATTATGTTGGAGAAACTGGGAGATTACTTCGAACGCAAATGATCTAACATGAAACAGCACTAAGGAGAAAGACGTCTAGCTCCCAGAGCGCGACTTATTCGACAGGAACCGCTTACACCTTCAAGTTTAACGAGACCGAAAGTCTCTCAAAAGGTGACAGTCGCGTGTGCTATGAATTGGTTAAGTCGTGATTCAATTAACAAACCAAATGACCTCCAGTCTGTGAGCGAAATAAGTAGTCACACGGGGAGATCACGGACGATCAGCAGTCCCGGTGACATTGAGTCAAAAAGCCGAGTACTTGTCACGCAAAGGAGCAACAAAAATAATTAAATCAGGTCATTAACGGTTCGGATACGGACCGACAAGCAATCATCTTAGCTACTTCGCCTCTCTAGTGATGAACGCGAGTACTGCTAATTATAGTACGCACATGTTAGCCTGATAGCCTTTTCTGCGACTGCCTCTAATGATGGGTTCGAGTGAGAACCCGAAATGTCCGGCCCATTAATTTCTTGTTCCAGCAATCGCCTCCCCCTCTTCTGGCCTCTCTTCCGCTATAATGACCGGTGCTAACTATCGATAAGTTGTCAGAAGCGACGGCTTAAGGACCGATGACAGCATTGGCCACCCGCGTTTGTCGGTGATTCAAGAAATTTAAGGAAACCACAACAGAGAGACCAGAGGTAGAGGAAGCAGACGAGAACTGATTCACACAAATACTGACGAGAGTATGAAGCAAACTGTCTAGACCAGCCAAATTGAGACGGTCTACAGCTTGTTGACTTAGACATAAGAACAATTAAAATGTAACGACAAGGGCAATAGGGACCTTGGAACCGGAGTCGGGTAGTAAAAAAGAGTGCCGATGCCAGCTAACCGTTTAAAATTTGTGTCCTAGGGAAGACAGACCAGAAGGTGGAACACAGATAAAAGTCTCGCTGCTTCATAAAATTCGTTGTAACGTTGTCGATGGTGCCACGTTTCGTTCAATTTTGCAGTTCTGTCGGGGTCCATATTATAAAAGGAGGAGTTCCTGCAATACTTCGCAGTTGAATACTCAATCAGAAACTATTTTTATCAGTTTTTTGTGTCCAGTGATTACGTGGCTCTGACAGGTACTTACTTGCGAAAAGAAAAAGTTGTTTGCGTGTTTTGTGTTGAGTGGCTACAAAATGGACTTGGAGTCAAACGGCGACAGCTCCTTGTTATCCATAGTTGTGGTTATCTTGGTGTGAGCAAGAGGCCTGTCATACGTTCATCGTATAGAATGCACTTTGTCGTTAGAAAGGCAGACTGAGGGGTGGACACCGCAGCAAGAACGGTTGAGCCCGGCTAGGCCTAAGTTCCAGCGCGGACTTTAATTAAGCATTGTGAGTACATGTGACTACCGAAGCCAGAGGAATTTTTCAAATTAGTCTTTTTAATATGCATGTAAGTAATTACGTGGATAAATACATCCGTAAGCTAAGAAAGTAAGTACGTAGCACGTGCTCGCAATCAGCACCTCTCACTTCAGAGGCAAGTGTGATACGCAGCTCCTTCTGCACGTAGTTTCTCTGCTATTTGTCAGACCGACCCTGAGACTATCCCAGTTTTCTGTGGCTTGTAAGGCTGTCAACTGACACCTATGCCAGACCATGTCCACTGTGTTTGTATGTTTAGTAGCTGACCAGTGAACTGGGAGTCAGCCGGCGACGGCTCCTTCTTACTTCCTGGTGTTGGGTAACCCTGGTGTGTGCGTGTGTAAAGGGGTGTCAGGTCGTGTTGTGGCGCGCACAGATGGGTTCGTCAGCCCTGTCAGACACTACGCCCACCCCAAATCATACAAGTGACCGGCTCAGACGGTGGCCTGATACTGGATGTGGGAGGAGAGTTAGGTCGACAGCTTAGCGTACTTTCCTCAGTGAACAAATCTGACGTGCTAGAAGTTATCACGTTACACGAAAAGCCAACGGACGGGATAACTTGGACCATGCGGTCAGCCCAGTGTGTGCTTGTGTGGAGTGACTGACTGGCGGGCTCAGAGGCGCGCTACAATTATTTTCCCATAATTTGGCCTTGACGGCACTTCCTATCAGCAAGGATCCGAGCCATCCCCTCCTATTTGCCGTTGTTTTCTTTTTGTTTTGGCCCACGTTGCGTTGGTCTTCGCCCTCTCCCATCTCCGGTCTTCTTGACTTTGTCTTGAAATAGGGTCATGTGTGTGTGTGTTGTGTTACCTAAACGGGCCGCGTGGTAGACGCGTTCGACCAGCACGAAGGCCAAATAGGGCAATGGAAGGCGTCATTCGGGTTGAGCTTCTATATCGAATGCCAAACATAAGGTTGGGGGGGGGAGAGGTCGTAGTACGCGCAAGTGCAGACTGAGGCACCACCCACCCGTGGCTTTTATCGTACTCTCAATTCGTGCGATTTAAGTCAGGCGTGATGAGTGCTCCAGCGCCTCCAACATGCGCCCGATTATACCTTCAAGCGCCTTGACTTGCTTGACATCGGGCAGACGGGTGAGGAAAGTGAAAATCAGGTAGATGAAACGCAAATATACTAACGTTTAAAACGAGTCCACTCGTAATTCTACGGCTTTGCAACACCAAACTGAGGAGCACACGCTGGACGTCGTACGAATCAAAAATCGGACTAACGTGTGTATTCGTGGTCAAGTGTAAGTGGCCTAAACTGTGCAACCTAAGAATCGTGCCGCTGCGTCCACTAAACTTTGGCGTACGCATAGGTGCAGACTCGGACATCAGCCACTCGTGGCCCTGATGGCAGATCCACTCCGTGCGTGATTTGGGCGCAATTTTATGAATAATGAAGCAGACTCGCGCCGCATCTGCCGCTTTCCCCCAAACTCCATTATCTTGCTTTGTTGGCAATACAACCTGAAGAGGACTAGGCTCGGGCACAGTGACTGACAAAGCTAAGCAGGTAGTTTATGTGTGTCATACGCAAACTTACCTCCACAAGACGCATAAGGCGCCTGCAAGGGCGTCCTGCAACCTGCATCAATAGATACAGCGGCTTTATTGTCAATGGCCTCAGCGCAGGGAAGCTGAACGCTTAAGACTTCCTAAAACCTGCACTGTTCCTTACTGTGTACTAGGAGGCTGTAATGAGCATTTTATCGGGATAGTAAACAATTTCACAGTCAGCTGTTATGTCCGTAACATAATAGAGGAGAAAAGACATGATACAGGAGAGCGGAAGTGAGGAAAGGGGGACAGTAGATACATTTATACGGATCTACATTGTGACTACCGCACACAAAGTAAATATTATTCAAAAAAGGTTTGTCTAAGACCAAAGATGTTGAGGAGATCAGACTCACGCTTGAGGTAGGTATCAGATTGGCATGGTTCCGATACCGAGCCAGCATCCACCGGTGTCCGTCGAACGTGCTGATCTGCAAACCGTGCTGGCATCTCACGTTGCTGGTCCTCGGCTGCACTACTGCTCGAGAAGGCTCCGCCGTGGCTGCCCAGGGGTGATTCCGAGCCCTCGGAACTGAAGGCGTCCCTGCGATGTTGGCTGCCCACTTTGGCATCGTAGTGGCCGCCACTCAGACGTGAGCTC